AAGATGGCGGACGGTCGCGTTCTGACTAGCTCTGTCAGTTGCCTTCAAAACAATCTTTATAACTGGGACTTGACCGAAATACTTCGCTACAAAGAAGCGAATAGCTTTACTTATGTTGGCAATCGAATTAAATGGATAGATACTTTTGACATGTTGAAAATATTTACGAAAAATGCCATTGGTCAGGCTGGCAAATGGCTATCACCCGGTGGCAAATATAAGAAATTTGTGAGCTCCAATTCTGACCTAACTATCACATGGAACTATGAACTGGGCATGCTGACTTTCAAAGGCAGTGTAGGAGACAATTTAAAAGAACTATTTGCTAATATTATGAATGAAGACATGCCGACGAATAGTATAAGTTTTAAACTTGGCTCTTCGAATAAAGACAAATTGTTGCATAATGGCGAAATCGTGTCCGAAGCTGGTAGAAAAATCATAGACCGTGATAGTGCTGAATCCGAATGCGGGGCGGTAACACATACTACGGACATTTCAACTCTTGAAGAGCTACAGGAAATTGTTGATCGATCTTATCAAGGTATGTTGCCCCGAAATGGCAAAGTCAATGTGTCCTTTGCCCAAACAATCGACAGTTCTACCCCTTTCAGGTCGCGTGCAGCAGAATGCTTATCTATGGAGGAACGATTCTGTACGTTTAAGGTAAATATAGAGTCCACAGTGACAGCCTTAAAGGCTAAACTTTCGGAACAGACCCAAATCATTGCAGAAAGTAAACAAGAGCTATGTAAATTGGCCAGTGACAATTTGCATTTAAGAACACGCCTGGCTGAACTTGAAGAGAAAGTGTTCCCTAAGGACAAATATACTATTTTAAATAGCCCCAGTAGAAACGGTGATATCCCTAACAATACCTCAGTAAATAAATCCCAACCCATCGTCCCTAATAAAGATAATAATCCTAAGGAAGGTTCCCTACCAGTTGCGACACAAAACATCCAACCCAAACAAAAAGCCGCAAGAAAATTTTCTGTACGCATGTCAAGGCCTTTAACAGATAAGAGCGGATATCACCAGGTCCACGCTCAATATCAATCTCAATCTATGACAAATCGAAATTCCAATCGATACCAACATGGAAAAAGGACAAAAGCATCAGTACAATGCGCTTTTTTGAAAAGAAATGGACACTGCCTGAAGGGCTTTAGATGCGATTTTTCGCATAATTATGTCCTACCTGCAATATGTGAGCCAAAATTTCGACAAAACCCTATTCAAAGAGCTCCCCCTTTTAATATTCCACAACCCGATTGTTACCAAGTTCCTTTTCCCTTCAATCCAAACTACTTTCCCCCGATCCAACACCCAATTTTCCAACCTTTCCCGTACCCGTACCCTTCACCACATATACCACCACTTATGTCTCTAGCACCAAAACCCCACATTCGTCCATCAACACGATAAGGAGCCGATGCTATGATCAGTCTGTTGCAACAACCCCGCCAGATCAAAATATTAAACATGTCAATCATAATGTATTAAAGAAAGTCCATTTTCAAAAACAGTATGACATACCTGCCTTCATATCTACGAATGTTAGGAAACTAGATAATAAATTAGATGAATTACAAGAGATTACCGTATTAAACAATGCTAAGGTAGTATGTATAACGGAAACGTGGCTTACAATGCAAATTCCTGACCATATTATTGCGATGCCAGGTTATAACCTCTTTCGAAAAGACAGAACCTATACTGTTGGAGGTGGGGTGTGCATGTACATTCATAATAGTATTCCCTGTAAACAACTTGAAGAGTGTATCGAAGATCAAGTCGAAGCGCTGTGGATGCTGCTCAGACCACATAAATTACCTATAAATATTATGTGTATCGTTGCTGTCGTGATATACCACACAACATCCAATCGCGAACCCGAGAACTTAATACTAAATTGAATTGAATTGAATTGAATAGTTTGTTTAATAAAAACATCATCTGGCAGTCAGAAGACTGAATTACATGACGTTAAGTGTTACAAGATTATAAATAGTTAAAAATTCTATATTACAATGCAATTTAGAAATTGTTAATATATACTATATATCATATACTTAAATGTACTAATCTATATGAGTTAAAAATTCTAAAATGTTCAAGGAACATCTGATTTGTAATGTTTCTTAGCATAAA